TAAATAATTAAATCGACTCAACATACTTGCTAATCAATTCCAAACACTTGACTCTTTATATTTAATTTAATTAATTTAATTTGGAGGAAGCAATAGACGAGGTTGTCCATTCCACCAAATCATTTTGGTCCCAAATGATCATTTAAAAATAAAAGTTTAGCGCGATGCAAGAATGGGCGCGACTCCATTCTCACAAAGTTAGTCTAGGATCCCATCTAACTTTCATTATAAAATAAAATGTAAATACCAAAAGAAAAGAGAACATGTTGATCAAACAAGCCTCGGAAAGCCACGGGCTACCACCGTGTACCCCAACCCATAATTGTCAATACTCCAGAAGTGCACGCTTTCCAGAGTTTTATTGCTCATTTATGTTTCACTTTACGTGATTACAATTTTAATTGATAGCCGACTCAATCAAATAGACCATACATTAAAATCATACATCAATTTACTTTTAATCTTATTTAGGACAATGGTGATCACATCACAAATTGACCTTTAATTTCATTAAACTTCCAAATTATCCAAATTGTTGAACATAGTCAATCCACCTAGCCATTTCGGCTTAATCCACTTTTACTCAACATACTAACAAGTCATGCTTGATTAATAAATAAAATAAATAACAACCTTATGGAATAATTAATAAATTTATTCCACTTAAACCATTCAATTCCAATCCTTTAATAATCCAAATGTGGTTAACAAACCAATCCAATAAAATTATGCTTGTATCAACATTCCATACAAACAATTAATCCAATATAATTCAACATGTTTGCATCCATAATTCCATACAAACATAATCAATTCACCAAAACATGTCTCATAAACATAATCACATGAATTAATTAAATGTATAACCAAACAATTTTCATCCAAGTGTTCTCTAATCATAAACCTAAGTTCTTTTCTTTGGTACCTAAACACGATACTACTTACAATGAAGTAGACATGTACGTACCTCGTATAAACAATCCTTTGTAACACTTTTAATCACTTAAAAGTCTCCTAAGAAATAATCACTTCCTAGAAAACAAGCAACAACAATAAATTAATACTTAACCAAATTTCCAGCAATATAATTTAGATTAAAGCTCCTTAAAACTTCATCAAAAACATGTTTTTATGCTTAATTAATCATTAGAAAGTCAATAGGAACAAAAGCCCCAAATTAATTGATCATAAGAACCCTAAAATCCCAATTTAAATAAATTGAAACCCTAGGTTTTAAAATTATAAAATCTAAAAATTTATAACACAATTATAATATGAAATTATTAGTTTAAAATATCAAAGACATGATTTTGATACTAAAAATATAATCTTTATACTACAAAAATCAAAACCCAAAACTAATACATTTATAATTAAACAAGTAGTAAAAACAAAGGAGGAATAAGGGGAAGGATGGCCACAGCAGGTGGTCGGCGGTGGCTGGGCAAACCGCCGGTGGTCGGCGCCGGTTTCTGGCAGGTAGGGGCGGCGGACTGAGCAGCAACAGTGAGTAGTAACTCACGTAGGAAAGGAGAAAGAAGAAAGAAAAGAAAATAAAAGGAAAAAGAAAAATAAAAGGAAAAAGAAAAATAAAAGGGAAATAAGAAAATAAAATAAAGAGGAGAGAAAATAAGACTAACCTTTAGTGTGGGAAAAATTTTGGGGATGTATGGGGTATTTATAGGAGAGAGAGTGGTGTAGGGCAAATTGTAAGATTGGGCCTCATAAAATTAATGGGCCAATTAAATATGTAAAGTGAGATTGGCTTTGATTGTTTGGACATGAATTATAGAATGAAGGTATGTATAAAAATTTATACCAAAATAATTTTCGACCCAAAATTAAAAATTGAAACTTTTGAAATTAAATTTCGGAAAAATACAAATAAATATTATAAACAATATATAATTTCATTTATAATATATTTAAAAATATGGGGGATTACAGCTGCCTATTGCAATTTTTTTACTAGTGAAACACTCAAAATTGACACCTTTAACCTCCACATTGATTCGCTTGTCATAATTTTTTGGCACACTTTTTGCTAACAAATAACTTTCTTCTAACCCCCTCTATCCCTTATTTATAGTTCTTTATGGCTAAGGCCCCGTTCTCTTTACCTTATTATTACTGAACTGAAACTATTTTTACTGAAACGAAATTATATTTTCTGAACTTAAATTATGTTTACTAAACTTAAATTAATTGTACTGAAATGAAATTATTTTTGCTGAAATGAAATTATTTTTACTAATTTTCTATTATAATTCTTTTTTAAGAAAATTGAATTTTACTTAACTGAACTTATTTTTACTGAACTGAAATAATTTTACTGAACTTAACTTGTTTTTACCGAACTGAAATTATTTTTGCTTAATATTATTTTTTAAGGTGAAGAGAACAAGGCCTAATTTTAAGTCTCAAAATAATAGTCCTATTTGCTTTTTTCAAGTACCATTAATATTAATTTTTTATAAAAATTTCCTCCAATTTGAAACAATATTTGTACAAATTTAACTTTCCCATGTAAATTTTGTTTTTCATATATGATGCTTTTATGGGTGGATTCGTTTTTTTTTTTATTTTTATTTTTTTTATGTATTTCAGGATTTAGTGAAGCTATTTGAATTGAAGGTTTTACGAAGTTGCGAATTGTGATCATAACTTGCAATTCACTTGGAAAGCCAAAGTTTGAAGTTGAATTCATTTAAGTATAATCTCCAGCCAGATATGCGCATGTCACACATAGAGATGGGTATGTCAGTGTGTTTTGAATAGATGGAAAGTTGGAATTCGAAGTTTTATTTGAGGCATGCCCATGTCTATTTGAGGCACACCCATGCCTTGTCGAGTGAAGTTGGCCCAACGAGACACGCCCATGTCAGAATTTGACATACCCGTGTCTTACTAGAAATTAAATAACAATGATTCTGACTTTGGGTACGAGCATGTCCTGTGTGACACGCCCATGCCTAGTCAATTTTAGGTCGGTTTAGTCCGAATTCTCTCCTTAATTAATCCTATCTTTTAGCCTTAATATAAATACTCATTGACATTGTAATTTCACTTTCGATCATCTTAGAACCCTATTTTTCTCTCTAGACTTTATTTTCATTGTAATTAAAGATTATCTTTCGTAATTCAAGATTTGGTATTTTGTTATTCTCTTTAATTCCCTTGATTGTTAATTATGTTTTCCTTAGTTTTTGTTATTGTTTTCATTAATATGTGTAAGTAGTTTTCTTATTCCAAGATCTAGCAGGGACTAAATATGGTTAATGCGTAATTTAATTCTTTTAATTTTTTTAATGATAATTGCAATTGATATGCTTAATTGGTTGTGCTTATGCTAATACTATATTAGAGATAATTAGTATTGTTATTAATCCATTGTTTGAATCCCAATGAGAGCTGGGTTCTAACGGGTTTGAATAAATCAATTAAGGGTTTGAAATTCATCATGAGAATAGTTTTTTTTTTATAAATGATTAGGAATCTAGGTAATGTGCTTAATGTCTCTAACTTACATGATTCCACGAGAGTAGATTTGATTATGATTACGGAAGCCATTGAAAACTCGAGAAAGAACTTTGGTATTTCTAGGGATTACTTTTCCTCGTTAACTAGGTGAATTATATGTAAGGGGTAGAACGACTATTGCGTTAATTGTATTCGTGGTGATGCTTGATCTTGGATATTTTTAGCATTTGATTTATTATATTACTTAGATTTAATTTCTTTATTAAGCTCTTTAGTTATTAGTTCTCACTATTATATTTGTTACTAATTGCTTAGTATTTATTTGAGTCTGTTTAATTTGTCAAACCTTAGTCTCTTGGGGTTCGATCCTTACTTGCCTATCTACATAGTAGTGGTCTTCTTAGGTTATTTTTGTTAGGTGCGCGACACACCTACCTATCAAAGTTACAATTTCATATTGGAAATTTTGTGAAAAACTACCTATTATAGTCCAGAATTTGCGAGAAACTACCTATTAAAGAAAATGTTGTAATAGACTACCTGATTTTTGAAAAATGTTGTAATTTACTACCTTAGGCCGAAATAAGAAGTTTGACCAAAATTCTCCGGTATGACTTGGTCATGTGTCACTTAATGACTCTTTTCCTCCCTTTTTTCCCTAAAATTGCCCACCAAAACTACAACCAACCTCCATTACCAATCTCCAATTCACACCCTACTCCACCGCATACACCAAGAAGCACCCGCAACCCCGACCATCTCTCTTCTCTCGCTCACAACACGACAACAGCAGCGACTACTGCCACCACGCACCACCAGAAATTAACTCCATCTCACATCTCAGCCACAACTACTCCCACTCATCCGCCATCCCGCAATAATCACACGTCCATTACAGCATACCCATCTCCACCTCTCGCCTCCAAACGCTGCCGCTCACCACCCCAACAGCCACAAAGTCATTATTGCTGCCCAACAGTAGGCCAAAAAATTAGAGCAAAGCAAGAAGTTTAGTGTTCAATCCCATGCACTATACATTTTTGATCTAATGCAACCCCTGAATCCGTTGTGTTAGACATCAAAAACCGTGGTATCAGGCCTAATGCAACGCCCCTGTACCGTGGCTTCTGTTGGCGTGGCGTTAGGCCTAATGCAACGACATTTGGTATCTAATGCGACGGCAGCTCTAATCCGTTGTATTAGATTGTACCTAATGCAACGACCTCCTTTATCCGTTGCATTAGAGTATCACTAGTAGAAAAATTGCTTTTTGTAACCCCCCATTTGTAACTGGCGTAATTTACGTCAGTTACAATAAGAGTATTAATAACTGACATATATAGTGCTGGTTACAATTAAAATAGTTTTAGTAACTGACATAACAAAGGTCGGTTACAAGTAGTAGGTTAATGATAGGCTGACCAACTATTAGTAATGAAAATAAAGAAGGTCAGTTACAATTAATAAGTCAAACATTATTGACCATATCACTTGTAATGGACTTTATTTAGGTGGGTTACTAATTTCATTTATTTATTTATATTTTTTTTTGGAAATTAGTACAATAGTAGTCTGCGCTTCCTCTTACCTTCACCCTTATTCCTTTTACGCTTTTTTCACATAAACTCGCAATCAACTTCTCACTTTCCTCTGAAAGTGCTCTAAAACTCGCTAATTCATCAAGAATATCGTAAGGTATGCTCTCGATCTCCTCCTGATTTATGAATTATTGATTAATTATACCCGATTATTTGATAAAATAAAAGAACTAAAAAGATTTCTAGGGTTAGTTCTTTTGTTTGTTAATGAATTTAATTGAAGTTTTATTACTAAAAAGTTGCAAACTCGGGTTTCAGAGTAATCTGGAATCAAAGAATATCCCCTTTTGAGGATCTGGGTGGCGATAGTTTCAAGAGCAAGAGAGAAATTGATTTTTGTAATTTCTAAATCGATGTCATGTTGTATAATTTGCTGGGCTAGAAGATTCGGTATGGCTTTTTCAGTTCTGGGAAAAATCTTTGATTGTGATATATTGTGTGGTTGAATTAATTTTTATACTTTCTGTGAGAAATTTGACAATTAAGGAAAATAAAATTGACGAACATGAACAAGCTTCTGATTTTAGTAATCTCGGGCTTAATAAAATGCTATAGTTATTTACAATGCAAGTTACTAGCATAGTAGCATGTATGTATTGGAAAATGCTCATATTTTGTTAATATTTTGAGATAATTATGAACTTAAGCTAGACTAATAATCATGTTCCTATTCCTGTTTAGAGATGAAACGTCGATGACTGCTTTTGGAAAGGTCACCTTTTTTACACTGCAACATGATTCTGGAACTATCCAGGTCTTATACGTACTCTCCATTATTTTACTCACTATTTCTGTAACAGCAAACAATTGCATACTCAATTTTTTCTTCAAGTCATTCAGCTTTATTGTGAAAAGGATATGCTTTATTAACTTCAATTTGATCATTTAAAACCACTTGTTGATATTTGTTAATTCTTGTGCTGAGTATTCATTATCCAGTAGTAATATTGAAGTAGATTTTGATATGTTTGAGTTTTATTTTTGAATTTCCTTTTCATGTTTAAAATTTAATGGAAAATTTATTTCCTATTAGTTCTTGTGACTTCTAGTTGTAATTTTCATATATGATCTAGTGCATGTGACTGAAAATGTGAAGAATTTTAAGCCAAAATGATATTTTGCATAGGTGGGCCATTTGGTCATGGAATCAATAAAGCTATCGTCATTGGTGTTGAATTATTAGATTGCATTAGTTGTGCTAATGGAGTAATTATACAGGTTAATATATAGCCATTTTGTTAACTTACGCTTGCTAGTTATGATTATTGTAAACATCTGACTTGATGCGTCTCCAATCTAGAGACACTAGCAAACTTGCACATTCCTGTGAGCAAGCTCTTCTTCCTTCTTTGTCTTTGCTTTACATCATTATCTATTAGTATAAAAGTCACAATCTCTTAAATTATTATCTAAATTGGATACTAGTATTATGAGAAACTAATGTATAATGAATTGGATGTTCTGTTTCTACACTATGTAAGATTAAAAATGGTGAGTGCCTAACTGCCTCATACATGTAAAATTCACATTAGCTTCTATGTACAATGCATAGTATCTATTTGCTCTCTGTATGCTACTGATATATAACGGGTTAAGTTATAACTATATGCCTTCATATGTATGCTCTTAATATAATATGTGTTAATTTATCACTATTTGATCACTATACAGAATACTTTTTTCTACCAAATAAGCATTAGTTTGTTTTGTTAAAGTGCATACTTGAACTCCTACACCTGCTCATTTGCAGAGGCAAAGAAATTGTGTTGTCAAGTGTAGAGATTAGTTCAAGCTACAGACAAATTGAACGTACTTAAGTTTTCAGATTGGTGTGGTGATTGCATTGCACAAATTTCTTTTTCCTTATTGTCGCAGAAATAACAATTTAGATTTCTATTGACTAAAAGACATAGAGATTATGAGTATGGACATTAAATTCTTAATATTGTATTGTTTTCCTCTGTCCTACAGGAATTTCTTATATAAGAATTTGGTATCTATTTTCCCTCTAGAATTAATAGTAAGTGACATGATGGTTTCCTAAGATATTTGTGCTCTATATCTTGAGATATTAAGGTTAGTCCCATCATTCTTCTTTTTCTTTTTTTTTCTCTCCTTTTTTTTTGTTTTTGATGGATAGATCCTATCATTTGGAGCATATACTTGGTATAGTTTTATGTTGCATCTTTCTTATTTCAATAATTCTCTATACTCTTGGGGTTAGGCTCTCAAGTTCCTTATCATTATAGCTCTTGGTAGAACTTATTATGTGTCGTCTTTATTGGATGCATCTGTGGAGTTCCCTCCCTCCCTCCCATCTAACTTGATTAATTTTCATTTTATAGTTCCCTGCATTGGCAAGTAATGTTCTGAATATTCAAAAAGTTGAGAAATCAATTTGTTTTTATTGTTGGAGCTTAGCAAGATTTCACCATTTGGCAGGTAGTGGATTTTGGATACGGGAGTCAATAATAGTTCAAGCTTATTCTATAATCACCTTCAAAAGGGTGAACGTGCTTACGAGAGGATAATTTCTACAAGACATTCTATATATTTTGTATAGTTTATTGTACATTTCTTATCAATCTATTCTTTTAGGATGACATCTCCTTTGTAGTTGAAAATAATTTGAAGCAGACATTGATAAAATCGTCAAAATTTGAAGGTTGACCATTGTATCATTTAACTAACACTACCACAAAATGGAGAATAAATAACGCATAATACACAACGGTGAAGTTGGAAATGCGATCCTCTAGAATTATATAGAACGCCTATCTTAGAAGAACGTTTTGTAGGATAAATTATATAGAGCGCCTCTCTATGTTAACCGTTTTATATGTCACTAATAGATTTTTCTTTTTTTTTTTTAAACATTACCATACAATATAGAGCGCCTGTCAGACTTAACAGATCTATATGATTTTGACCAGGGGAAAATTACACGAGGCGCGCTAAATCCCGCGGAAGGAATAAGTAAATTAGTTTTATATTTTCAAAAGAACCTAAAAATCTTTCAAACCAAAAAAAAGTTAGAACCTTCCTCAAAAAAATAAAAAAAAAAGAAGTTAGAACCCAAAAATGCTACTGCTTCTTCTCCACCGCCTCGAATCTCCATAGCTTCCACCTCCAAGAAGAACTAAGAGAAACGCTGCTACGAAGCCGACGCTGCTACTCAACGTTAGGTTTGTTTTAATCTAATTAATTACAATTTTAAATTTTCAAAGATGAACCCTAAGTATGTATTTGCATGTAATCTGTTTGAATCTTTGTCAATTTCGGTTTCTAGTGACGGAATTCTTGCTAGATATAGACGAATTTTGGTATTTTGTGTTAAATTTTAATTTTTGCTGAAGGTTGTCGGTTTTGATACTCCACAATTTCTGTTATGTTCTTAATTTTTACAATTTAGAACTTTGTGTGAATTTAGAAGCTTGCTTTTGGTAAACTACTCTGACATGAATGTATATATATATATATATATATATATATATTCTTGAGTTTGGTGTATATACAATTTTTTGTTGTGAATTTAAAGTTTGGCAGATTTCTTGATTATTGGAATTATGGATATATATGCTTAGGAATTAGGACCTTAGGTAGATAATATCGTTTATAAATATATAGATAAACATAGGGATTTTGGATCATATTACATGATCTTATTAGAATATTAGTGAGTTAAGCTAAGTGTTATTATACCCAATGCCTTTGGCTGCATATTTATTAATATATATTGTTATTATAACTTTTAATATTTATTTTTATATTCTTCTTTTTATGTACTAGTGTTTTGAATGGATAAAAGTTGGATTACAACTACCAAACCCGGGGACCCAAAATATGATCAGGGAGTTCTGGATTTTATTAAATTTGTTGTAACGAATAATGAAGGTCGTGATACTATGCCATGTCCTTGTTATACTTGCCATAATCTTAGTTATCACAAAGTCGATGTTATACTTGCTCATTTGAGTAAATGGGAATTTGATCGAACATATACTTATTGGTATCTCCATGGAGAAAGTAGAGAAGGAACATCACCAATGGGCAAAAGAATGGATGATGGTCATATTGATTATGAAGGTGATAACTTAGAGGACATGATAGATGGGTTTGAGGAAAGGGTTGAGGATGATCCTGATGTGACCGTACAGGAATTAATTAGAAGCCCTTATATCCAGGTTGTGATAAGTACACAAGATTGTCAAGTGTACTTAAGCTGTACAATTTAAAAGCAGGCCATGGTTGGACAGATACGAGTTTTAGCGCATTACTTGAGTTTATGTATGATGTGCTTCCTCCTGACAATGTTTTGCCAATTAGTACATATGAGGCAAAAAAAATATTGTGTACAATGGGCTTGCGTTGTGAAAAGATTCACGCATGTCCGAATGATTGCATACTTTAAAAAATATGAATCTCTTGATAGTTGCCCAGAATGTAAGGTCTCAAGGTACAAATTTGAAGGAGTTCCAGCCAAGGTTTTATGGTATTTTCCCATTATCCCTAGGTTTAAAAGGATGTATTCAAATCCAGATGAAGCTAATAAGTTGACATGGCATAAATTCGGGCAAAAGAATGATGGGTTACTTAGACATCCAGCCGATTCTCTTCAGTGGAGACTTGTCGATGAGAAATGGAGTGATTTCGGTCGAGAAGAACGAAACTTATGCCTTGCAATGTCTACAGATGGTATGAATCCATACGGCTCTCTCAGTAGCCGCCATAGTACTTGGCCAGTTATGTTGGCCATTTACAACTTGCCCCCCTCCTTGTGCATGAAAAGAAAATACATTATACTCTCATTGATAATTCCTGGACCAACACAACCAGGAAATGATATTTGTGTGTACTTAGCACCTCTTATTGATGATTTGTTATTGTTGTGTGAAAGTGGAGTTGAAGTGTTTGATGCTAATCGAAAGGAAACTTCCAATTTAAGAGCATTGTTGTTCTGCACAATACAAAATTTTCCTGCATATGGTAATCTTTCGGGGTATAGTGTAAAAGGAACAGCCCCTTGTCCTATATGTGAAGACAATTGGAAGGGAGAGTATATGAAAGGATCTCATAAGACAGTGTACTTTGACCATCGTCCATTTCTTCCATGTGATCACTGCTATCGTAGAATGAAAAAGGCTTTTAATGGGAAACAAGAGTTTAATTGCCAGCCACATGTCTCTACCGGCCTTAAAGTGTATGAAAGGGTAAAAGACATTCAAACTACGTTTGGCAAGTTGAAGAAAAATAGAAACGCCCTTCCCAAACAGGGTTATAAGAAGTGTTCAGAGTTTTGGCGTCTTTCATATTGGAAACATTTGTTTGTGCGACATTGTCTAGAAAAGGCAGAACTTTGTGCATCTTTAGCTGGGGTAAAAGTGCCTGAGGGCTTTTCTTCTAATATCTCTTCTCTAGTTTCAATGCAAAATCTGAAACTTGTGGGTTTTAAGTCTCATGACTGTCATGTTTTGATGCAATATCTTTTGCCTGTTGCTATTCGTTCCATTTTGCCAAAAAACGTGCGATATTCCATTATTAGATTATGTTCATTCTTTAATGCAATATACAGCAAAGTCTTCAGACCAAGCGATTTGGATTCTATGGAAACAGAAATTGTTGTTATTTTGTGTCAGCTTGAGATGTATTTTCCACCCGCCTTTTTTGATATCATGGTTCATCTCCCTATTCACTTGGTGAGAGAGATTAAATATTGTGGTCCGGTGCATATGAGGAGTTCATGGCCTTTTAAAAGGCAAATGAAAACTTATAAAGATTATGTTAAGAATTTTTCTCGTCCAGAAGCTTGTATCGCGGAGAGAATGGTTTATGAATTAGCTATTGAATTTAGCATGGATCTTCTAGGAGATATGAAGACCATAGGGGTTCCTAAATCTCGACATTGTGGCTGACTTGATGGTAAAGGGACAATAGGTCGTAGAGATAGGGACTTGACTCGAGAGAAATGGCGTATGGCACACACATATATTCTTCATAATGAAGACGAAGTAGCTCCTTATGTTGAGCGACACATGTCTTTTTTAAGGAGGTTGATTTGAAAGGCTAATCCGAAAGCAATTGCTGCTGAGCATAGTAAATCATTTGGTATTTGGTTAAAAAATGAGGTAATGAAAGAGCTTCAAGGTTCATCACATGCCATTTCGGATCGTCTAAAGAGTTTGGCATACGGACCAGATTTTTCAGCCACTTTTTACTCTGGTTATGTCATTAATGGCTGGACTTTTTATACCAAGGACCAAGATGAGAAGAGTACAATGCAAAATAGTGGGGTATCTTTAGAAGCTGAAGCAATGCATTTTGCTAGTGCGAAAGACACTCGTCCTGTTTTGTGTAAAATGCAATATTATGGGGTAATTGAAGAGATATGTGAGTTGCATTACTCTGATTTTTCGCTACCTATTTTTTGTTGCAAATGGGCTGATAGCAATAACGTTACATATGATGACATGGGGCATACTTTAGTGAACTTTGGTAGGATTGGTCATAAGGAAGATCCTTATATTTTAGCTAGCCAAGCAAAATAAGTCTTTTACATGACTGACCCATCAGATAAGAGGGAGGTCTGTTGTTATAACACCAAGACCTCGATATTCCATTGATGAACATGAAGATAATGCTTTGTTTGAGGAAAGGTCTGGGTTGAATGACATCCAAGTTATGGAAGATGTTGATGATACATCAACCTATATTCGAAATGACCATGAAGAAGGAATTTGGGTTGAAAACAAAGATGATACTTGTAAAAGACCTCAAAAGCGTCGCAAAAAGAATAGTAAAAAGGCAGCAAACAATGCTACAAACATAGTGGCAACATAACTTCTTTTGTAATAACCTTAACCCTTCACCCTTCTTAATTTGCAATTAGATTCTGATTGCTGCATAAAATGATGCATTGGAACTGCGTGTATATCTTTTTTTATTGCTTGCATTTTTTTGTTTCTATTTCTTTATTTTTCTATGCTGACCAATTGTGTAATCAATATTAAATTTTTCTGTTTATTAGGTTGATGGCAAATAAAAGAAAACAAATAAGTTCCTCTCAAGAGGCTGCTACACGTGAGAATCACAGGGGTCGTACAGTCCGTGCAGCAGTTGGAAGAGCAATTCAAAGTGGCAATAAAATCCCTTTACAATGGAATCACCGAAAATTGCCTTGTGGAGATCATAAAACTGACTTTTCTACTTACATTGGTGTTGTTGTTCGCATCCGAGTAAGTATTAATTATAAGGAGTGGGAAGAAGTACCAAAAGAAGTTATCAATGAAGTTCTAGACTTTATTACGGTAAGAGCGTACATTAATTAGCTGCACACTTTCATTAAATTTTTAATTAAGTGTTTTCTTTTTTTTTATTAAATAAAGTTGTATAGACCCCATGTTGCGACCAGGTTGTGGAATAGTTAAGTAGGTTGCAACCTACCTGTGGTCTGATTTTTCTCTTCCTTTCATAAATTTTTACTATTGTTAATTATTGTATATTTAGAACCTTTCTTTTCTTCTGGTTGTAAATTCTATTAAACTTAATAGTGTGCTTATTTTAATTTTTGCAGAAAGGTTTCACTTTTCCTGAAGATCGTAAAGGATATGTGTTAAAACAAGCATCAAAGAGGTGGAGAGAATTCAAGGTTAGATTAAGAAAAGATTTTATGTACGAGTGTGACGAGGAGGGAAATACTACAGATGTGATTATCTGGACACCACCGAGTTTGTATCCATGGATAACCGTAGATGATTGGAAAAAGTTCGTTGAAACAAGTATTGATGATAAGTTTAAGGTAATCTAATATTCGTCACATAAATATTATGAAGTCATATAAGAATTAGCTAAGCTATTTACTAACATAATGTGTATCGTACTGAAGGAATTGAGTGAACTGAATCGAGAAAGGGCTAAAAAGAGGAAGACTTCCTATCGTGGGGGTCGAGAAGGGTACTCTTATTATGAGGACGAGATTGTAAGTTTACTATACTCCATGCTTCTCGAACAATAAATACTATACAAATAAGACTATAACTTTTCATCTGTGTACTTTTTTCAGGCTAAGGAATTGCAGAATCAAGGAATTCAAGTTGTTGATGTACCTCGGCATTTGGTTTGGATTAGAGCTCATTCTAGAGAAGAGGGAGGAGTTCTAAAATTTGACAATCCGGCAAATTTGGAAATAGCTCAAGCAATTGTAACATTATGTATCCATATATATGTTGCATAGTCATAGACCTCAAACTGATAGTATCTTTAATTATTCTAACACAACCAGGCTAATATCTATAAATTTCAGAAAGAATTGGAGGCTCAACATAATCAAGGAGAAATCGATGCATCAGGACGCAATGATATATTGGCAAGAGCATTAAACACTTCCGAACATGGTGGTTGTGTGAGGGCCGTTGGAGGTCTCACAAACAAGGAGTATTTCGGGTACAAGAAGCCTACACCCGCTAACCAAGTGCAATCAGAGCTCAAGTAAGTCAAAACAAAGTTAGAAAATGTGACAAACACTCAAAATTTTCTGATGTCTTTTATTATGTCTAATTTTCAATTGACTCCGGAACAATTCCAACAAATTCAACTTGGTAGTTCAAGTGCTCAATTTGGGGGATTTGGTGTCAACCGGGATGTGTACAGTGCTACATTTGGTGAATTACTTAGCAGCCATGGTTTAGATGGATCAGGTGATAGGCAAATAGTTGGTGAATTGGGTAAGAACCAATCAACCGGTGACTTTACTAATTATAGCTCAGGTGAACCAAGGTAGAAATATGGCCACACATGGACTTCAAGGTTTCCAGTTCCAACTTGCTTCAAAGCCACAACATCACCAACAACTCGAGGTGCCAACAGAGTCATACCATATTATTGCTTCTAAGCCACAACATAATCAACAACTCGATGTGCCAACAGAGACATACCATGTATCATGGCCAGAGCCTGAGACAAACCATGAAAAGGAATATGTTCCAGAGAATTCATTTAACATAGAATCTCAAATTGAACAAACTACAAACCAAGCTTTTCCTGAGGTAAGAAAAAGTTGAAGGTATGTAAAATAATTTAACATATTTTTCCTTAACAAATGTTGTCCGTTTTTTTTTTGTTTTTGTTTTTTTTTTTTGTTTTTTTTTGTGGCCAATATAATTTGTATATAACCCTCATATATTCTTTAATGGATACAGATACTAACATCTTTACGCATTTAGGGTGTTAACAGTGATTGTTCTTTGGCAATTGAGCAAGATAATGGGGTCCAAATAGTTGTCATTGGAACAGTATATATTGGGAAAGGATCTGAAGTGGTCAAGCATCATTTCAAACCTGTGCTGAGTGGTTGTTACCAAGTTTGTATTAAAGAAGGAATTGACATAGGTGCACCTTTGCCTTTTCCAGAAGGAAAAATCACATCTGTGTGTGAAGGAAAAGATCATTTTCTTCTGTGGCCAGCTCACTTGGTTTATCCAATAGAGAAGGTACGAAATTGTTGCTTCTGTACATTTGTATTTATAAAATAACAAGTATACTAAATTAGTGTTTATCTATAATTATTAAGGTTCACAAACAACCTGTGAAAGAGAGCATCACACCTTCTACTCATTCTATACTATCACAATCATCATCCACCAAGTATGTGATCACTCCTGAGGAGAAATTGAAGTTGACCACCAGTTTGGTGCGCGTTTGCAGGAAGTTAGCTATTGAAATGAAAAAGAGTGGAAAAACCATACCTATCAAAATCCCGAAGAATGTGTTTTATAATGAGCAGGAAATTACCATTGATTATGAAGATATGCGTGATTGGTGCTTTGAAAGAAAGATAGGAACAAGTCATATGTCAACTTTTATGATGTAAGTGTGGTGATAATATAAATGGTGAATTTCACTTTACTTAGTTGATTTTTTTTTTTTACTGTTCTAATTGATTTTTTGTTTTTGTTTTTATTATTATTATTATTATTATTATTTTTTTTTTTTTTTTTTTGAAAGGCACTTGAGTGAAATGGTTCATTCACTAGGTATCTCAGGAATCTATGCATTTTGTGATTCTAATTTCATATCCCCTGAAACTCCAACGCAAGAAAATGAAAATGATCGATGTGACTATTTGGTTAGTCTTTGCTCGCAATAATGCACAAAATCGAAACCAATTTTTCTTTGCTCCATACACTGATAAGTAATTTGTTTAATGTGCTTATTATGTTATCATGATTTTATGACTCTTATGATTTCATGTTATTCAACTAACTTTATGTGTAGCATGCACTGGATGTTGGCGGTGATTTGTCCATGGGTTGGATTAGTACATTGGCTAGATCCAGCAGGAGCAGAATTTCAACCTTGTCAATTTGCTCAAGATATCATCAATAAGTATATGCATGAGATTTTAATTGTTTTTTTTTTATCTTATTAGGGTATTAGTTCTGATATTAGAAGGAAAAAAAAAAACTAAACCAGTCCTTGTGGCAATACAGGGCAATTTTGAGATTTAACTTGGAGTACCGAGCAGAAATTAAGTGGAATAAGAATTCAGCCATTAAATGGAAACAAGTAGAGGTAATTGATCTTTACTTTATCTTTTGGGTTCACTTATCTATGTATTGTGATTACAATTTATAAGTATAATTGTATAACTCAAATTTATTATTGTAATAGTGCCCTCGTCAAGATTTCGACTTCGATTGTGGATATTATGTTTGTCGTTACATGCTAAAGACAATTCAATCTAGAAACTCATATGTACCAGAAAAGGTATTACTCTTCCTTAATTGTATGCAGAGGTTAGCTTTTGGTCTTGCAAATTTAGACAACCTACTGGTAGTTTCTAGCAATTTAATGCGATTTTTTTCAAGGTTTAACCGGTAATTTCTTGTTCATTTTCCTGTTTTATTTTCAACTACTATAATTCTTATCTCATTATGTAAATCATAGAGCATTCTTCTTGTGAATTCATCAAGGACCTGCATTATATTGCTTATTATATATGTTATGAAGATCTACATTTGTATTGGTTACCTAAATAATATTAGTTTGCTGCTATATTAAAAATCTTTACTCTATATAAGAGTATAACAAAGCTATATTTAGCTCACTTTTCTATATAATCTTGACTGGAAAACTATCACCCAGAAAACTATCACTTGACTGCTTGATTGAAGGATTTTTGGCAATCAAGCAGAATATTCAGAGTACAAACTATCACCCAGAAAACTATCACTTCACTGGATATGCAATCTTTGATTCACAATTTCTACAGGATTCAAAATCAGTTAAATTTAACAAAACTAACAGTTTTCAACAAGTTCTATAGCTTTCCTTTTAATTCAGAGTACAATAATCTATGCTACCACTCATATTTTCTATGAAGCTTATTAGGTACCAAGTTATAAGTCTGCTAGACTAATAAAAGTGTATACCCATTACCCAGTTGGACAGTTAGCCCACCTACTTGCCTGTCTAGCTGCTAACGCATTATGCTTAAAGCAGAAAGAAATGAAGCAGCCTGATAACACTTGAGCCAGGCACTACAAGCTTGACTAAGACAAACCCAAACACATGCAATGATTTCAGAGCTTTTTTCTCCCAAAAATTTTTTTCTTTGCTTTTTTACCAGACAAGGAAGGGGCCAGAGGGGAGAGGGGAGGGTGGATATTTTTCATCTACTTAGAATCCTAATAAAAACTCTGGATCACCACCAAACAAAACCCCTCACCTATCAAGCAAGAAGATGATAGCCTACAATAGAGCCAATTCTTTTGACATGACTCTGGCAAAACTTATGAACTAAAAGTTAGCAAAAACACAGTATATTACCCTTTATGAGGTGTGTGAAGTGGCTGATACAAAGCAACAACATGCAACAAAAACCCAGCTCATAAAATTTAATGAAGTGGCTCCCACCAAGGTTTCCATCAGTCCATAGGCTTCACCAAGGGCAATAAATATATCAACCCATTTCAGCTTATATAGCTTATAATACAGTCCTTATAATAAACATTATGCACGGAAGAAACCAAGACTCCTAATCGTGATTTTATACATTGTGTCTTAGCAATGTGTATACATGTAAGGATAATATTATGGAAGAAGCCTCCTAATTTTTCTCTGGTTGTTCCAGTTCCTAAGGATAATATAAGTATCTGTTATAATCTGATGGTTTTATAGGGTAGAAATCAGGACTACCACTATATATCTCATTTATTTTTATATATTTTTTTTACATGTAGTATTTTGACAAAGCTCCTGTCAAATATTCTCAACAAATGATCGACGAGATTCGAGACATGTGGATCTTATTTGTTACAAGACATCAACCAGCCGAGGAGGACGATGATGATCAGTTTGAGTTGTAAGTGGGCAGTACATATTAAGTACCTTAGGAATATATTTTGGATATCTTGTATATGTGTTAATTAGATTTGGAATGGAACTAGAATGGACTTTGTTTTAGAACAAACTAGAATGAAACTTTTGACCATGTAAATATTTCTGATGAATGAAATTTTTTTTTTTGGGAAAGTTGTGCAGTTGTATTTATTCTATAAGAAGCAGGTTGTATTTATTTTTAAACATAGCAGGTTGTATTTTATTTTTATGCAAAGCAGGGTGTATACAGGGCAATATTGCATTTAAAAAATTACCCAAAAATGGGAAACCAATTTTATTATATTCATTATTTTTTTTAATTTAAAAAAACAAAAAGATCGATGCCCTATTTCGTAAACAAAAAAAAATCAATAATCATTTTAATTAAAAAATGAGAAAAAGCTAGAGAACGCCTATCTAAGATAGGAGTTTTCTTTGTTAATATATATAGAGCGCCTATCACTAGTTAATCGTTCTGTTTTCCTTGTTTTTTATTCCTTTTTTACACAAAATAGAGAGCTGTTATCTTATACAGGCGCTCTGTATTGTGTTTGATATAGAACGCCTGAAAGAGGCGCTCTATAAATGTTATAGGGCACCCCCTCAGAAGAGTGCCTCACAGGCGCTCTCTATTCCCTATTTTAGGCGTTCTCTAATCCTTATTCATGTGGTAGTGTAACTAGCTTTTTTTTAGTCATATAGTATTATTTATTGTGAATTTGTGAGAGACAAGTTTGTAATTTTCAAGTACATCAATTCAGTAATTTTTTAGAGTTGATGTATATATGTCGTTTAAATTTGGCCTTATAATGGTTAGTTTGATAATTATTGTATTTTATAAAAATTTATTATTAATTTATGGTCTTCACATTGAAATAAATGTAGTGTACGGGTGGTGGCAGTACAGGAATTTGCTACTGCTTCCATTTTATTTTATTTTTTTAAAAAAAACACTATTCGTAACTAGCATTAAGCTATGTCAGTTACAAATAATACCCTAATTGTAACCTGCGTAACTTAACGCAAGTTACAAATAGTATGCTTTCTAACTTGGAAAATAGACTATTTGTAACTGGCGTTAGGTTAAGCCAATTACGAATAGTACATTATTTGTAACTAACATTAGCCGGTTACGAATAATTTTCACTATTTGTAACGGTGGCATTCGCAACCAACAATGCCAATTACAAAAAGCCAATTTTGCCAGTTACAAATAGCACTTTTTCTACTAGTGTATTTTATAAAAAAACGTCATGAAAGTGAGACCTGATACAACGGAAAGGATAACACAACAGTATATATTGCATTTAAATTAGCATCTAATACAACGGCCATATATATATATATATAATAATAATAATAATAATAATAATTAGCTATTTATTATTAATTAACACCTAATCATTAGTAGTTCAATAATATTAATTAGATGTTTAGTTAGTTAAATCTTAAAAGTAATACTAAATATAAAATTACATTAAATTTATAACAATCTCCTAAGTACGTACGTTAAATACATTACAAAATATTGTTTTCATATGACACTACCGCGCGATATTGATATATAAATGTTTACTAATTAATTTAACAATTGTGCAAAATACAATAGATCTCAATATATATATATATAGGCAAACAGTTCCAAATCTTCAGAAGCTCATCGAACTAAATCAACAAGTGTCGCCAATAACATTTACGCACTATTTGTTGGATGCCTAGTCAATGTACTTCATCTCCATCTAGCTCGTCATGCACCTACACGTTAAAAGAAATAAAAATAATAGAAATTTTGATTAGTATAGGTTATAACCACCTCCTCGCACTTAATATATGGTTATATTATAATTACACTAAGAATTTAGTAATCATTAAATAAAAAAAAAAATAACACATGTAAATTTTTTGACATGTACATGGCCATCATTCAAGTTTGGCTAATTGTTTAAGGTAGGCAGTGAAGGTGACATGGCCAAAATTCCTTTAGAGTTCGTGGCCAAAATTCTATCAAATTTCATATTTTTGATCCATAATAATGCCATATACTCAGCCATGGTCAGTGGGAAAAACTTGCTTTAGATACTCTCCCTAGAGATAAAACTGACCAGATTTGTGTTCACTAATCAGTTATGCTCACTACCACAAGTGTCTTAAATCAACAACACACGGAACATAAGCAGCATACACAAGCATGAGAAAGTAAAAGTTGTTACCTGATTAACTGTTGCACCAGATTTGGATTGTCCATTCTGGTTAGTCTTGTTAGTGAGCTGATGTGGTGCACTAGATGCATCATTTCGAACTAATGGCATCACAAAATCAGGAACTACAAGATTAATCTCCGGGTTAGCTTCCTGATGTTGAGTCAAAACTGCAGTTGTAACGCTTGGTGCAAGTTGTTGTACTAATTGTGCTTGCATACTTGCTAAGAATTCCTCTGGGAATATAAAATCTGACTTTTTAGCTTTTTCCTTCAAATCTGCCTTTTTCACACCTTTTCCATGAAGGCGCACAGGATCCGGAATCACTTCGGAGTAAGGGTCCTTAGAGTTGTTACCATCTTCATGTTGGGAAGTTTCTAAAGCTTCCATTTTGGCCTATATGGGAAAATAAAGTAATATGTTACCATTTATGAAAAGTAAAGAAAATATAAATTATATCTAAGATGTTAACTCACAATATTCTCTTTTGCTTTTTCATAGTTGGTAAGGTATGTCCTTCCGGCAACTCTCTTTCTTGATTCCTTATAAACCTTTGCTTGGGAAGGTTCTTGCTTATCCGAATCTGGTTGTTGCTATAAAACATGATATATTGAAGGAAAAATTAGAAATAATAATCCCAACTTTGATGAATTTTGCTAGAATAATCCCAACTTTGGATTATTATACAATAATCCCAACTTTGGGGGTTCCTCTTTTTCTTCAATCCCTAACTGGTCAATAAAAGTCAATGACCTATTATATCAGGTCACTTGGCATGTGTCAAGTTCTTATTGGACCAAATTTTTAAAAAAAAACAAACAAAAAAAAAATCAGAAAAACATCTAGCTACTCCTTCCCCCACCCAGCCACCCTAACCTCCACCACCAAAGCCCAGACCGCCACTCCTCTGATCCACCCTGACCTCCACCACCACAGCGGCCTATCCCGCGGCATCTCCCTCATTCCTTGAGTCGCCTTCCCCCCCCCCCCCTTAAACCCCACGCAACCAGCGAAATCACCGACCCCACATAACCATCGTAAACCCAAAATCGCATCCCCTAAACCCCTAAATCGCAGCCACCAGTCAAAACCCCCAAAACCCACCAACAAAAACGAAGGTTTCAGGGGTGGGTTAGGTATGTTTGGGAGTAGGAGAGGGGTTTCAAGGGAGTGTGCGAGCAGCGGCGCACAGGTGGTCGAATTTAGTGGCTGGGGGCAATTAAGAGGAGAAAGAAAATGAGAAGGCGTTTCGTGCGTGGCTGGGGCAATTGGCCGACGGGAGGAGGGGTGATAGTGGGGGCGACGTTCAGGCAAGGGGAAAGGAAAACCAGCAGAGTTGGGGCGGATTCCGGCGTTGAGGGGTTGCCGGAGGCCGGAGCTGGGAGTTTGGCTGGGATCGCTGATTCGTTGGGTGAATTTTTTTTTATTTATTTTGTTTTTTTTTTGAAGATTTTATTTATTTTGTTTGTTTTTAATTTTGTTTTTTGTTATTAATTTTTTTAACCAATTTACATGTGACACGTGTCACTTTTTATTAAAAAAATTAACCTATTCAACCGGTCACCGGTTTTTGGGATTAAAGAAAAAGAGGAACCCCCAAAGTTCGGATTATTCTGACAAAATTCATCAAAGTTGGGATTATTATTTCTAATTTTTCCTATATTGAAATGATTATATATTATTAAAATAAAGAAAAGGGTAAAAACCACATGTACAGCAAGTAATGACTATAAAATTGATCATGGAATAGCTTAAAATTAGATAAAGTATTTACCAACTCATGGCGTAAAATGACAAATGACTTACGACCCAAATTGTGCATATCATCTAACATTAGATGATTGTCTTTGTTGGTTTTACTAATTTCCTATGGAATAAAACAATCCAATAAGAATTCAGAATTTAAGGGCATATTTGATAAAATAAACAAGAATAATAAACAAGATAATTCGATTGTGAGTAACCTTCAATCCCCTTTCGAATGCTAATACATTTTCTGACTTTGCAATGTTATATCTTATACAAGTATGTCTTTTGGCCTAATACTATTGATATCTTAAGCTTTTTAGCTAAACTTTGATATATAAACAAGCAGATTCCTGTCTAATACTAGTTTAAGGCAGCTTGACAATCTTTGTTATAAGTGGCTTAAAAAGAGTTTTTACAGTTGTCAAGTAAACACAAACCCCAAAAAAAAGGAAAGAAAAAAGATGAAGAAGAAGGTAGAAACATATACTGGTATATGGCATTCATGTTGATAAAATGATTTCAATGCTTCATATACTATATTTGGAAAAATGTGCAGGTCCAATAATCTGAATTTCTAGCTACTACTATCATGTGCATAGTTTATAGTTGTGTGAATTATGGTATAATTAGTAAAATAAATGAATTATAGTTGGCATTCATGTTGATAAAATGAATTATAGTTGCAGGACCAAGTCGGTAATCAAGTAGCATTGAAAGACATTAAGTATAACTAGAGATGGAAACCTTCTCAACACACTAATTACACCTCGCACATATTAGTGGCGAAGGTCGTCTCAATCATTTCCGGGTCCATGTTCTAGTAAAATAAATTGGGCCTTAATATAGAGTATACAATTTTATCAAATCTTAATAAACTTAGTCTTTAAATTTTCAAAGTAACAATATCTCATGTCATATTACTCGTAGTATATTACAAGTTTTAAAGTTTATACAACAATACTCATTTGTTATAAGTACTTTCTTAAGATTAATATTCCATAATCCTTAAGTCAATTTTACTACCATTGAAATATTTTTTCTTAATATGTATTTTAAAACTATATAATTAGATGTAACTAATTATCATAGCAATTATTCAATTAGTAGGCTCAATAAAAATATAAGTATTTTCTTTTTTTGAGTTCATATAAATTTAAAATAATAAGTAATAAAACAGAAAAAAATAATTTATTTTTACAAAATAATCGGAAAATATAAACTCTAATTGAATTTCTTTGGAAAAAGAACACTAATTGAAGAATCAAAGAACTATAATGTATAAAATTTATTTATTTTGGGTTCAAACCAAACTTGAATATCGCAGTAGTGTGGTATGTACAACTAATTGTGAAGAAAAATGGAGAAAATAGGAGTAAAAGCTAATTGCAATACAAATTCACAAACACAAAGAACTAAGTAATTGTAATAACACCTTCCATGGCCTCAAACACAAATCCACAAACACAACAGCAAAAACTTCAAATTAAATTAACAAAATACAAGGGGAGAGAGAAACCTAGACACATATGGATTAGTGCATACCACCTCTAAACCCAACAACATAGATTAGAGAAGAACCCTTGAATATTCTTGCCTAAATTATTCTCTCTTTTCATTGTTTTTCATTTAGGCAGTTGGGTTTGTTTCCTGTTTAATACTATGGGTATTAAAACTGGAAACTACATCTAATTATAGAAGATTTCAGCGTTTCTTTGGAATTCATTACACTCAATTGCTCTTTTTGGGCCAATATCTTTCCAAAATATAGCTAATTAAAGAATCTGCTACCCGATTTACATGATCTTGAGGGATAAAAATTGTGTATTTTTATTTTCTTCCCTAATTTTGAAAAAAAAAAAAAAAAAAAACAAAACAACAACAAAAATTTCATAAAGAAACCTCAGAAACGAATATTCGTTGTATACCTTGAATAGAAATTTGAGCAATCCGACATGCAAGATGAATATGGGGAAAACGCCGCCTGAAGTTTGAGCAACTACCCACTAAATTTATCGCCGCTTGAAGAAGTTCGAGCAACTACCCACTAAATTTATCGCCGCCTGAAGAAGTTCGAGCAACCAGCCACCTCCGTTCTGAGCATCGAACTACCAGCCACCGCCTGAATGTCGTCTTCGTCACTACGTTCCTCTCACTTTTTAAGTATTCTTTTTAATAATTTATGGCCTCAAAATTTTGGGAATTGGGGAAATGGAGAATTTGAGGTTTTTTCAGATTGCTAGAATGAATTGGGGGAAAAGTGAATTGGGAAAAATGGAGAATTGGGTAAAATGGTAGTACACAAGTGTGAGAAAATGGTAGTACAGATTAGAGTTATTTTACATTTCCATTTTTCTTTTCAATTTTTTTTTTTGGAAATTTTGATTTTTACCACCTTCAAATAACCACTTAATTGAATTTACCACCTCCAAAAAAAAAAAGATTTACTTTACCATCACCAAAATTTCCAAAAAATCGATTTTACCACCAACTACCAGATTCCGTCCATGAATCCGTTAGTAGGGCCCACATTTTTTACGTTTCTTCTTCATCTTCCCCGATCTTCCATGTCAACCAACCAGCAACGAAATCAACTACCTCGGTTGGTCGGAATTTCGTGTGGGTTTCGCGTCTGGGTGGTGGTGGTTTCGAGTCGCGATGGTTTCGCGTCTGGCTGGCGTGGTTTCTGGTGGGTGGTGGTGGTTTTGAGTCGGGGTGGTTTCGCGTCTGGGTGGCGGATGTTTCTGGTCTGGGTTTGGGTGGTGGTGGTTTTGAGTCGGGGTGGTTTCGCGTCTGGGTGGCGGTTGTTTCTGGTCTGGGTTTGGATGGTGGTGGGGTTGGTCGTAGCTGTTAGGTGGTGGCTAGGGTTTTGAGGTCGGAAATTGGTGGAAAGGGGTAGAGATCGGTGCGGCTGTGGTGTGCGGTGCGGTGGTAGCGATTAGGTGGTGGGTTGGTCGTAGCTATTAGGTGTTGACTAGGGTTTTGAGGTCGGAAATTGGTGGTAAGGGGGTCGAAATCGGCGCGGCTGTGGTGTGCGGTGCGGTGGTAGCGGTTAGGTGGTGGGGTTGGTCGTAGCTGTTAGGTGGTGGCTAGGGTTTTGAGGTAGAAATCGGTGCGGTGGCTGTGGGTCCCGACGGTGGCTGGTAGCGGTTAGGTGGTGGGGGCTGGTTGTAACGGTTAGGTGGTGGGGCTGGTCGTTGCCAGTCCGGCGGTGGGGGTCCCGACGATGGCAGCAACCATCGGTTGCTTGATGGGGATTTTTTATTTTTTATTTTGTTTTATTTATTTATTTTTTTTAAAACTTAACCAATAATATGGCGACACGTGTGCAAGGTAGGCCCCACTAACGGATTTTTGGACGGAATCCGTTAGTTGGAGGTGATTGATGGTAAAACTGATGTTTAATTTTTTTATGAGGTGGTAAAGTAAATGTTTTTTTTTTGGAGGTTGTAAATTCGACAAAGTTGTTATTTGAAGGTGGTAAAAATCAAAATTTCTTTTTTTTTTTAAAAAAAAATTTTGGCCTAGGAATTGGAACACGTGTATGGCTTAAAAGATATGGGAAAAAATGTAGAGGGAGCAGAAAATTTTTCGCGCGTCTTTTAATTTTTCATCACATACCGTTGCATTAGCTTCCTTTTTTTTTTATTGAAATAGCTACCCTAATGCAACGGTTTGTTAGAGCCGTTGTATTAGCTCTACCTCTCAAAACATTAGTGTTGAATCCGTTGTATTAGCCTACTCTATTGCAACGGCTATTACAATACTGTTGTATTAGCCTTTATCAGGTCGTTGCATTTGGTAAAAAATGTAGTAGTGATGGAAACGGATTTTTTGGGAACAAAATCAACAATTGTTAAAGAGTTTCAATCGAAATCCATTACAGAAAACTAAATTAAAGAAGACATACCTCAATTGCAACCTACAAGAGGAGAATTTGCCTCAAAGAATGGCGTTACAAACTAAAATTAGGGGTTTGGGGGTTAAAGGGGTTGAATCAGGGATTTTGGGGGAAAAAAGGGAGGAAAAGAGTCACGTGATTATCACATGACCAAGTCAACGCCGGAGAAAAAATAGTCAAAGCTGAAAATCCGGTGGGAGGTAGTCAATTACAACATATTGGTACTTTAATAGGTAGTTAATTACAACATTTTTTTTATTAGGTAGTTTTTCGCAAATTCTGGACTTTATTAGTGTAGTTTTTCACAAAAAATCATTTAATATTATATCCTTCTCTTTCATAATCCCTACCCAAACCCAGTATTACTTTTTTTTATTACTTATTTTCACTTACATTAATTACTTTCCATTAATAAACTATTAACTCCACTGTATTTTTTTTACATTTTTTTTAATATTTCTACTACTCTACTTACCTCTTACGGAGTATTTTATTAATCAATTAAATTGCCTAAAACTTTACTATGTGCCGGTTTAACTGTAACATATTAAAACACGAAGAGTGTCCATAAAAATGGGATTATTTTGAGTTAAATTGTACTTGTAGTACAGATTAAAATGAGAAGACATGTAATAGTTCAAGTATTCTAACACTTTTTTTTTTAATCATAAGGAAGTCCCTGTTTAACTATCACTAGGGGTGAGCGTAGTAGGGTACCCTGTAAAAAACTCAGGATCTAGAACCGGAACCTGTTGCAACAGGTTCCTATAAATAGGAACCAGAACCAGAACCTGTTCAACAGGTTCCTAAAAATTGGGAATCGGAATCTGTAGGTTCTGATTCCTAAACAGGGTACCTTGTATATCAAAGTAAGCTTAATAGTTACTTGATAAATTGTTACAAATTGTTTTTGTATAAAAAAATGCATGTTCACAATAAAAGCTTATAACAACTTTAATACAGTATAAACAAGATACTGTACAGGTTCCAGGTCCAAAATTTTATTACCCGAAATCGGAACCCGTTGCAATAGGTTCTCAATTTTATTACCCGGGTTTGGAACTTGCGGTTCCGAAAGGTTTCTATTCCAAGTCAGGGTACCTTAAATTTTGTTCACCTTGCTCACCCCTAATTATCACCAAAAACAAATTAATTAAATTCAATTATCATTCTTTTATAAACCTTGTGATTTAGGACGTGAACGTTAACATCAACTGAAAGACAACTGGTAATTATTTTAAATTGTTCCTTACGATTTATGAAACCAATTTTGGATATACGCAAGCGATTGGATATTTTATTAGCTCAAGAACATTATATAATCCAATTATCTTCCTTAGATAAATCACAAGCAAAATAATTATTCATTTCCATTAACACAGAGCATTCACTTACTACCCAAGTTAAAGCATGGCTTCAATTTATTTGTTAGGTGTTACTACTCTCACAATATTCACCTTCTTTATTTTTAATAAAATTATAAAGTATGGTCGTAATTCAAATCATCCCCCAGGTAATGTTGGGTGGCCGATCTTAGGCGAAACTATAGAATTCTGTTCAAACCCTAAAAAATTTGTTCATGATCGAATGACGAAACACTCCACAGACATCTTTCAAACCTCATTTGGAGGTGATAGAGTGGTCTTTTTTTGCGGTCCATCAGGTAACAAGTTCATCTATTCAAATGAAAATAAATTTACGAATTGGTTACCAAAGAGCATTGCTAGAGCCTTTTCACTAACTAATGTTGATAATAAGTCGCTTCATTGGAGATTTTTCATGGAGCACTTACACAACTTCCTTAGACTCGAATCCCTGCAAGATTGTGTAGGCGTTATGCATTCAAGGGCAAGCGAGCACTTGGAGAAGCATTGGGTTCCTTATAACGAAGTTAAGGTCCAACCTTTATCGAAAGACTTCACTCTATCTAATGCTGTCCATCTTTTAATTAGCTCAAACGAAGATCTAGCAAGGGAAATCGCCGAACCCTTCTACACTTTGGCTGAGAGGGTTCTTTCGGTGCCAGTAAATTTGCCTGGTACATCCTATAACCAGGCTTTGAAGGCGTCGAAGGTTGTTAAAGGCAAGCTTGTGGATCTAATGAGGAGTAAGAAAGAAGAAATATTATCAGCAAAGGAAAATAATGTGGATATCGAAATCGTTGGCAAAGAGCTGTTGAGTAAACTGCTTATTGCTTCATATGAAGAAGATTTCAAATCTATTTGTGACGAGGAAATAGCGGGTCAAATGATTGGTCTCCTATTTGCAGGGTTTCATACTACGAGTACTTTGATCACATTTATAATAGATTATCTTGCTCGATATCCTGATGTTTATGCAAAAGTCTTACAAGGTATGTTTTACTCCTAATAATTTAACTTTTATAATTATTAACGCATAACGTTAAATATTAACTAATTTTGAGCCCGTGCAATGTCCAGTTTGTTTATTAATAAGACATGGAGTAAACATTTTATCTTTATGCCAAATTTTAAACAACTTAGTGATACATTTTTAAACGAATTTTATGATGGAAATAGTATTGAATTATAAGATATTTATTAAAATTTATAATTAATTTTGTATATATGAAATATTAGAAGTATATTGATAATAAACACTATACAATATTTTTATCTTAAAAACAACTATCCAAAATCCACTTACTTAGTTTATGCATGTGTCTCAATATTACCTATTCGTCGCCTACGCGGCTCGACACTTGGTGAAAAACTGGAATGCCAAGTGTCGATGTCTTTTGGCTGCGAGACAGACTTTATATAATAGTGATATGATATCCTCGCTTGTATGTATGTATGTATGTATGTATGTATACATATATGTATATGTATGTATGTATGTATACATATATATGTATATGTATATATAAGAAACTAAGAAATAATTATTTACTTTAGTTAACTATTTAGGCCCCCTTTAATCACCAACCTAATTCTACTTAATTCACTTGTAACCAAAATAAACTCCATTTTCTTACCTTTAATAATTTACTTTAGTTAACTATTTAGCCCCCCCCCCCCTCTTTTTTTTTTTAATCCTCTTTTCCCAATCGTCAAAGATGATTTAAGCGAGATATATGTATAATGTTAATGTCTATTGCAACCGTCCTAAAAACGCATTTTGATAAGCTATATTGATTGCTAGAGCAATTGGAGATAGCACAATCGAAAAAGAAAGGGGAGCTATTGAATTGGAAAGATATTCAGAGCATGAAACATACATGGAATGTGGCATGTGAAACCATGAGATTAAAACCTTCTGCGGTTGGAGGTTTCCGAGAAGCCATCACCGACATCTCCTACGCCGGCTACACTGTCCCAAAGGGAGCGAAGGTACGTATGCTACAAGGTTTTTTTTAAATTTGTTTTATTTGCAACAAATTAAACTACTAGGAGTGAAGATACGTATGCTACATTAGAGCTGTCAACTCAGGTAAATGGGTCGGGTAAGTGCGGGTTGTGTCAACTCGGGTCGGGTTAATTTCAATAAATGTCGAAACCTATGTGGTTCGGATTGGGTCAGCTTGAGTCGGGTCACATCGGGTCATACATTTTATCTAGTTTGGGTTCAGTATAGGCCAGGCCAATAACAGGTTTGGTTACATTAGGGTTGGGTGAATAATATGTCAGGTTTAATTCGGATTTTCACGGGTTAAAACGAGTTAGGGTTATTCTCGGGTTCGAGTAGGGTTCAATTCCAGTCAATAATTTGCGGGTTATAGTCAAGTCGGGTCATTCTCCAATTCGTAAAAGTTAATAATTTGCGGGGTATAATTAGGTCGGGTCATTTTCAATTCGGGTCATTCTCGGGTTCAAGTCAGGTTTGGTTCAATCAATAATTTGCGGTTTACAATTAGGTTAGGACATTTCATCCAAGTTGGGTCATGTGCGGGTTCATGTATCTAATATTAGGTTAATTTGAATTTCGGGTTGATTTCAGGTCAGGTCATATCATGACCGGATACATTTTTAGGCCGGTTTGTGAACTATTCATGTAATACGTTCACGTTTAATCATTATCAATTTCTTCATTTATTGTAAGACAAATAATTTAGATAAGTTTAAATTCGAGCTAATAAGTTCAAATAAATTTAGATAAGATATACATAATAAGTGACAACATATCTATATAACTATACTTTGACCAATATTAATAAGGTGGTCTAAATTGAATTTAAGTTGATTTGAAATCGGGTGTAGTCAATAACAAGTTAGGTTGAGTTCAAAACGGGTCAGGTATAATTCGGATTGAATTTTGGTCTGGTCAATGGGTCAATAACAAGTCGTGTTGATTACGAGTCGAGTTAGTAACAAATCAGATTGAATTTCGAGTTGGGCTAGTATATGTTGGTAAAATTTAGGTCGGGTTAGTAACAGGTTGAGTTAAATTTGGGTCGGTACGGTTTAATAACAGGTCAGTTAAATTCGTGTCGGGTTAGTAACATGTCAGGTTAAATTCGGGTTTTGACAGGTTAAAACGGGTTTGGGTCAATCTTGGTTGAGGTCGAGTTTGGTTAAGGTGAATAATTTACGGGTTATATTCAAGTCGGGACATCTCCAGGTCGGTTCATATTCGAGTTCGGGTCTCAAATACTCGGGTTAACTCGGGTCTAGGGTTGGTTTTATATTGGGTTCGGATCACCATTTTTTCGAGTTCAAATAGGCCGGTTAATGATCAGGTTCGAGTCAGGTTAGCTATTGACAGCTCTATGCTACATTGTCCCAAAAAGCCTTTATCGCAAATATTTTTTTTTAAAATAATAAACATAGCCTTCAGGGCTATATGAGGATTAAGCAAGATTATACTACATGTGTTTCTGTTTCCTTTTTTTTTTTTTTTTTTTTCCTTCCCTGAGAGCACGCTAGATGAACCAATTCATTAAGGTTTGGACAAATTGTCCATAAGTATATAGGAAGCAATATCGGGAGGACAATGACATTCTCATACTTGCTCTAGACCAAAGGGTACTATCCTAGCTAGGTGATGAGCGACAGAGTTTCCATCCCACGAACATGTGATCAAGAAACAAAATCAAAGTTCTTACAAGTAAACATATCATCTAAAACAGAATCTAAACGTATGATCCTTCGGACATAATAATCTATCTACACATTTCTTTTTAATTTGCAACGAAGTATACGAGACATAAAAAAAAAACTCATTTGCTACAAATAAAATGAAACAAATCTAGTACATTAATTACATTGATGTAAGCATGATCTTGTCAAAAAATTTCAAATCTAATATATATATTTAAAGGGAAGTTTTTCCCCAAGTTTTTAGAGAGCCACGTAGGATTAAATTTTCTTAGCGCGCCATGTAGGATTATAAATTTAAGTAGTAGCCAATTAAATAAGAGATTATTAATTTTTTTTACAATTAAATAATTCAAATGCCACGTAAGCAAAATTGGTGAATAAGATTTTAAAGTTTAAATTAATTAAATACAAAATATTATCTTTTGATATTAGGAATTTTATCTAATGTTCTAAAACTAATATAATAACAATTTTAATAACAAAAATATGAAAAATATTTTTTTAAAATAAATACTAACAAAGTGTGCATCGCACCGACTTCATCTAATATATATATATTTGAAAGCCAGGTAGGATTTAATTTTTTTAGCGCACCATGTAGGATAATAAATTTTAGTGGTAGCCAATTAAATAAGAGATTATTAATTTCTGTTATAATCAAATAATTTAAATGACACATAAGTAAAATTGGCGAATGAGATTTCCCTGTTTAAATTAATTAAATACAAAATATTATAATTTGGTATCAGAAATTTTATCTAATATTCTAAAACTAATATACTAACAATTTTGAATCACATAAATATGATAATTTTTTTTTTTTAAAAAAAATACTAACAAACCGTGCGAGAGCTTCATCTACTGTATATATATATATATATATATATATATATATATATATATATATTAGAAAGCCAGGTAGGATTTAATTTATTTTAGCGCGCCATGTAGGATAATAAACTTTTGTGGTAGCCAATTAAATGTGAAATTATTAATTTATGTTATAATTAAATAATATAAAAGTCACATAAGTAAAATTGGCGAATGAGATTTTTCAGTTTAAATTAATTAAATATAAAATATTATAATTTGGTATCAGGAATTTCATCTAAATATATAACAAATTTTAGCACATAAATATATGTATAAAAAAAATTATTTTAAAAAATTCAAATAAATCGTGCATCACACGGGCTTCATCTAGTTTATTCTATTTCAGGAATTTTATGTGATAGGTATATGTAGTCCTAAGGGCTAGACATATAATTTCCCTTGTTTTACTTTTTTTTTTTTTGGCTGTTGATAATAATTTTTATTATCAAATGAAATGTATGATCAATGTGTAAGTTAAACGAAGCATTTAAATAGTGCGAAACGAAGGAAATCTTAACATACTTTATATGAAGTTAATATCGTTAATGTGGCATTTGACTTATAATAACATTGTTGATTATACTCACACTGTTTCAAAAAATTATAAAAAAATAATAATAATAAAAATAAAACTCAAAGAAGTTAAATAAAACAGGTAGTACAAAATAGGATAATTTGCCAATTACTATCGCAAGTTAATACCACTTTGTAAATTACTGCCGCAAATTAAAAAAGTTGTGAATTATTACCGCAAAAAATTTTAAGATGTTGCGATTACTACCAAACCCTCATTAAACCCAACTATGACGTCATTATATCCCTTTAATTAACCCGTGTTTGACCATGGTTAAGGGCTTTAACCACCCCCCCAAAAAAAATGGTTTAGGGATATAATGACGTCATGGTTAAGGGCTTTAACCATGGGTTAAAGTGATATAATGACGTCATAGTTGGGTTTAATGGGGGTTTGGTAGTAATCGCAACATCTTAAAATTTTTCGCGGTAGTAATTCACAACTTTTTTAATTTGCGGTAGTAATTTACAAAGTAGTATTAACTTGCGGTAGTAATTGACAAATTTTCCTACAAAATATTACAACTTGACCATCATTGATTCTCAATCTGGAAAAATTTCTTACTGAAGGTTAATTATAAATTAAAAAAGTTGAATTGTGTTATCTTTGTATGATTTTTTTATTTTTAATTTTTTTTTTGGTGAGAATCTTTGTATGATTTATCATTGTCAAGTACTTTAAAAATAAATTAGGCTAATAGAAATTATTTAGTTTCTTTAAATTAATTGGATGCAAAGCCTTCTGATCCTAACTGAAAATTTGATTTTTAATAAATCAATTAAAGAAAAAATATATGATTCAAATGATGGATTCAATTTGGATTATTTGAGTAGATTTCGGTTTTAATCTAAGCCAAAAATTAAATTAGGGTATTTACAAACAACAAAGGGAGTATTTACGAGTTAAAACTGGGGCCTGGGGGATAGCTCAGTTGGTTGGATCTTCTCTTCTTGTTTCAGGAGGCCTAAGATAACAGCATCCGCTCTTATATGGCTATCTAAATACCAAAAAATGGAGTATTTACGAGTACTAACATTTAATTTTGTTGAATTAGGTACATTGGAATGTATATTCAACACAAATGGATCCAACTTACTTTCCAAATCCAGAAAAATTTGACCCTTCAAGATTTGAAAAAATATTGCCACCTCGTGCATTTGTACCCTTCGGAGGAGGATTGCGCATTTGCTGCGGGAGGGAGCTTGCGCGAATTAGTACTCTGGTTTATATACACAATGTTGTAATTCGATTTACACTTTCAAAGGCGAATCCCAATGAAAAGATAATTTATAACCCTGATCCCTACTCAGTTGACGGGCTGCAAATGCGCTTTAAACCACATGAAATTTAGTCTTTATTTATACCTGGTTTGGTATTAATGGTTGAAGTTATTATTATTTAGATATTTAGCTTGTTCATTTGAGGTGATATGAATTCTCTTCCATTTTCTTCAGAGTCTATTTTGTAAACGATATAAATGGTGAACAAGTTTGTATTGTATTTCTTATATATGTTATATTTCAGTTGCAATGGTGAGAGTTTCACATTTTTTTTCAATACACATACATTCTAGTAATAAATCACAAAATGGGTTAAAGAAGTGTGGATGAATAGTGAAAAGCTCAAAACATTAATAATAAATAAGAAAAAAAATAATAATTACATGCATACTGCAAAAAAAAAAAAAAAGCACATTGTGACTTTTTTTGTAATATATTGACCTTAAAAAGTGTATCAATATTTTGATACTTTTTGTGTACTTTTTTTTCAAAATATTATGGTGCTTTTATGTATTTAGAGCAGAGAAAAGAAGAGGATACATCAAGACTTGTACAACCCTTGTCAAAGCCCGTAAGAGTCTTCATCTTCCCTCTTAGGACCTGTTCTCTTACGTTGAAATTCAGTTCAGTTTAGCTCAGTTTAGCTCAGTTCAGTTCAGCTCAGTTCAGTTCAGCTCAGTTCAGTTCAGTTAAGCTCAGCTCAGTTCAGTTCAGCTCCTAATTTCCTTCTCTTATAAAAGTTCAGTTCAGTTCAGTTCAGCTGAATTTAGTCAATGAGAACATACCCTTACTATAAAGAATACTATAAGAGGGGTGGTGAATTGTAGTATGGGAAGAATTAGTTAACTTTTTGCGGAATTATAAAAACTAAGTTTAAGGACTCAAAGTCACACAAAGAGATTTTAGTGTAGAAAACTTCTTGGCCCTAAAAAGAAGAAAAACCACGACCACTAAGGATTTTAAGAAAGGTTCTTTACTAAAATAAGGCAAGCAACTTATTACAAGCTAAAGACTCTATATCCAAGTTCCTTAACGAATTTAGAGTTCCCAGCAGCAAGTCCCTCAACTTACTTCTCTTCGATTCTCTTTCTTTTCTCTCGCTTTTTCTACTGACTTCTCTAGAGTTCACTCAAACTTCCAATCCCCAAATTACAATTCTTGAAAGAAATATTCGAATGAAAGAAAATAAGAAAATTATCAACTAAAGTAGAATGAGACTCTTGACAAATGGTGGATCCACGTTGGGTTCAAGTGGGTTCATTGAACCCACTGTTTTTCTGAAAAAAAATTAAAAAAAAAAGCTAAAAAAAAAAAAAGATAAAAGCATAATGTCATAAGTTAGATAGAAAAAGTAACATAGCCAAGTGGTCAACTGGAGTTTGTTTTGAGCGTTTGGGATTTCTAGGTCGTGGGTTCAATTCCCACAAAGAACATATCTTTTGGCCTTTTTCTTCAGCTTTTTTGTTTTTCCTTTTTGCTTAAATTTCTTCTCTAAACTCCCCCCCCCCCAAAATTTTAATGATTTTTTTTCTCCTTTGCTTTAATATCTTCTCTAAACTCTCAATATCCCGAAAACTTTTCAAAAACTCAAAACATCAAGCCTCTTTTGCCCTAATTATTTTTTTCCCTAACTTTCTTCATCAAAGTATATAAAAAACCGAATGCTTTTATTGATCCTATTTCTAATTGTATTCTATTGTATTAAGTTACATGTCATCCATTATAATCTGGAATTCAAAACTATCTATTAAAATTAATTTTATACTTTATATATATATTTTATTAATTGCAACGTTTGTAAGTTTACAATATATACACATACTCATTTGATCGTTTTTTGTGATTATTAAAACTTTGGAAGAAAAAAAATCGTCTCGTGAGATCTTGTTTATAACTTAAGATATTTAGCTTGTAGAATTTTTGTTGATAAGCATGAAATCACCAATGTTGCAATTAAAACGAATTGAACGAAGGACCTATATTTTTTTTAACGATTCCGAACGCACACTTCTAAATTCCTGGATACGCCACTACTTTTGACTCTTTAAGAAAACAAAGAAGATAGTAGAAAATATGATTGATCAAGGGTGAAGTTTTCTAGAAAACAACCTCGGTATTTATTGAAAAATTTAGCTTGATTAAAATGCCATGATCTCCTCCACTTACGCCACTACTGCTGCACATCAACACCATCGTTCTCCACTACTTCTAGTGCTTCAAACATGTCCTAATTAAAACTCGGGGCACGTTGAACCACTTTGAAACAGTTTCTTCGTTTAGTGGAGAAGACATAATCAAACAACATTTGTGCAAGTTCAAGAAATCAGTTACACAAGCCTTTGAAAGATATTTTTGTTTAAATGATAGATCAGAAAAAAGATTATTTTCCAAAACGAACTTTCCTATAATTAACCAATCTTTATATTTTATCATTAACCAATTTTATGTGCATTATATTAAGCATCCAACTTCAAATTACTTTCACTGACATAAAACCTAAAATATAAAATACTTTAGACTTTATGAATTCTCTTAAGAAGTCTGTGCTTTGAGCCTTCATTCTCTTGCTTCTAATCCAAAGCTTATGTTCCTCCAAAGGAATACTGCATCCAGTCTTCTGCTTCTTTAAGCTTTAGTTCCTTTGTCTCGAATAACTCTGCAACTTGAGTCTTAAAGCTACACAGCTTATTTAGATTAGTCTAATAATAAGTTTGGCTTGTGTTATCATCAAAACATCAAGAGCAACATTCCCTCCTGGATATTCCTAGCTGATGATAGGAGTGATTATTACATTGGGAAGAGACAGTATAGGAGCAATTGAACCTTTTATTTATTTGTTTTTATTTTTTTTAGGAAAAGGAGCAACTGAACCTTTGCACATTGAAGTTATAGAATTTCAATATTATAGATTGAAATAATTTAGTTAATAGTGTATTATAAGCACAAATAATTTATAATAAATTGATTCTTTTATGTGTAAATAGAGTTAAGTATACAGATGGTGATCAAGTTTTTGTTTTTTTCACCCTTTGGTGATCAAATATTTTTTCACCCTTTGGTGATTGAGTTAGAAAAACCGAGCACTTAACTCACCAAAACACCTTTTTAGCCTGTTTTGAACTCAGCAAAAAAAAAAGAAAAAAAAAACAACTTAGTCACCCAACATAAACTTAACCACCTTCCCAAAAACATAATCACTTATCAATATTAAATCCTGAAATGAGTTCAAAAGCTGAATATATAATACTAGTCGTTGGGATAAATTACAAAAGTATAAATACAAAATAATTCCAACAGCTATCTATTCTAAAAGGCTGCCCAAAAAATTTCTCCATTACTGTCACCATTGCATCAAGAGCTTGAGCGATCAAAACATCCTAAAAAACCCCCAAAAAAGAAGAACAAATAATTTAAACTGTCATGGTTATGTTCATTAAAAAAAATGTGGAATTGCAGGAAGAAATAAAATAGAACGGGAGGAAAATGAATATTCAAAGTGTTGTAATTTTGTTTTTAATATTTGTTTTAACTTTAGTAATTTTGATTAAGTAAGGTACCTTGTAATGTGAGGTTGAGTATGTTGTCCTGATGTTCCTCTAACGCTTGTTTGGCTCCAATTTGGATTGATGTAATGTTGAAAGTTTAAAAGACAATTAAATTGCTTTAATTGATTTTCTGTATAATTTGTATGAAAATGAACAAGTACTTACCACAGCCTGCCTCTAAATATTCCTTGGGGTATGTGTACAAACCAACCCCTCTATTGTGTAGAGTCAAGAGTGTTTGTGACTGTTGGGTTGATTGGGCAGTGGTTCTTTGCCTCTTCGTGCTTGGTGGTGTGTCATTGGGTGCTGTAGGACAAGTCTTCTTGTTGAGCCCTTGTTGTTTGCAGTAGGAGCAATTATGTGATTGACCCTTTCTAGTTACCCTTGTAGTATCAATCACCACCTCACCAATAAAGGGCCTTCTATTTTTCTATGGTCTATGCTAAACCTTCCTGAGAGGGGGAGGAGTGATTGGAATGACACTTGATTCAGGCCATTCATCTGGACCATTCAAGGTCGAGCTCAAGTGGGTACTGGTATGCCCTTAAATAAGTTGTTTTACTAAACCACTCAGACACATAGTGCTCTAGGAGCTCCCCGACCTTCCATATTGCTGCCACAGCATGCCTACAAGGGATACCCCTATTCTACCACACATTGCAAGTACAAGCTGACTACAAACCTTATTTGTGTACCTCCTTCCCTCACACCATAAGGAAAGTTCTCGTCCCAATAAGCCACCCAACCCCTTGCTGCCAATTTAGACCATTCCAACCTCTGCTGAATTCTTGGACATAGTTGAATGTCTTTATGAAGTATGAAGTCTCTCTTTTTTTTTTGCATTCTCTCCATTAAACCCTCCCTAATATCTTATAACATTAGGTCAATCACAAGGAGTCAAGTTTATACCTTGAGTCGTGTCAAGTCAATGAGTCAAGCGACATTAAACCTTAGGTCAACCCTAAAATAATTAAAGAAATTGGCAAAGTTCTATAGTCAAAAATAAATACAGGTGCAGCAGAATAGGGAAGACCCTACTCCAGCGCCAGACGGAAACATCTAGCGTCTGGCAATAGCTTTTAGCGCCTGGCGCTAGATCCCAACGTTTGGCGACAGAGTCAATTCTTGGCGCCAGAGATGTTTCAGCAGCGACAGAGCTCGAAGCCTCTCATAAAGGTGATTTCGACCTCATACAACAATTTCGGGTTCCTTTGTACGCTAGTTAGCCCCTATAAGCAATTTGACATGATTAAGTAGTCGGTTTGATTACAGTCGCAATAAGTGATTGACCTGACGAAAGATCGTCTCACTTAGCTTAAAGAGCCTAAGCGTTGGCTTATCATGAACATAATGTTTCCAAGCAGCAAACCGCCAACGTATTGACATAGCTGAAGCAAAGTTCAAGCGAGCTGTAGAGATCGGCAAGCGTTGGTCTTCAGAAATCTTCTTCAGAATATTATCGCAACAAACATTAAAGTATCAAAAAGCTCTTTGTTCAGAGACGCGTGGACATATTATAAAAGCTCTTTGTTTAGAGACGCGTGGACATATTATCAAGCTCTTTGTTTAGAGACGCGTGGATATATTATTAAAGCTCTTTGTTCAGAGACGCGTGGACATATTCATCAAAGCTCTTTTGTTCAGAGACACGTGGACATTTTCATCAAAGCTCTATTGTTCAGAGACGCGTGGACATATT